TTGAAGAAAAGTGAGCAATTAGATAGGGTCTCCTGGTGACTAAGGATTAGGATCGACAGGATCGCATAGAGGCTGAGAGAAGCCAGGTGACCCGTTTCTATTTTGGGGTGGGAGTGTGCAGGCCCTGAGAAGATGAAGACAGCTCAGGGGTGCCCCTGGGGGAGGGGGTAGAAGAAGACACCCTCTTCCCATGAGCTCCACATATGAGTTCCCTAGAAACAGCCTTCAGGAATGAACACAATAGAGGAAACCCAGCAGCTGAGGTAGAGCACAAGGTCCTTCATCCTGGGGCAACTGCCTCTTTCACCCTGGCTGGGGCAGAGCTCCTTGACAGGTGTCCCATCAGGGACATCAGCTGCCTGAAAACCATGTCTAGAAGCTCGGATTTAAAGAGGCTTTCCATTTTCTTTTCTCGAGTCTGTATTATGGGGAAAGAGGCTTCCTTCAGCCTCCTGAGTTCTCACCCAACTACTGTGATGAGCTCTCAGGGCAGGGTGCAGGATCTAGTTTGACAAAGACAGGCTTCTCTTCCATGCATCTTCAAGAGGGTTGCGTGGTGTTCTGCAGCTGCAGTTCACAAGGGGCTTTTGTCTTCCTCCATTGCAGCAGATGTAGCACTGAATCCAACTGTAGCTGGCAGGCCCCTCATCTCAGTACAGAAGGTTTTTCTGTCTCTGCTTGAACAAATCTATCGAAAATGAGAGAACGACCCCCATACCACCCATGTGACACCCTCCCCATCTCCCACTGAAATCCAAGAAGAGTGAAACTTGGTCTCACAGCCCTGAGATTCTTCATCCAGCAAACTCCACGGCCACTCCCGGCCTCTCAGGCATACCAGCTTTGCTCCTCCCTGGTTCCACAGGCTGCTGCAGGGACCGCATGGCCACCACAGCCAGGGGGCCACAGCCAGGGAGCACCAAGACCCTGACCAGGGTTCTGGCTAGAATCAAACCAGCACCTGACAACCATCACTGGATGGGGCGGGGGGAACAGTGAAGCACCCACCCTTGGATACCTAGTGGAAGAAAGGAGCAAGCAAGTAGGGAACGAAGGGGGCTAAAGCCATCACTCCTTAGCATTCCTTAGAATTCTCACTTGATTGTTGGGCTGTTTTCTCATCAATTGCTCCCCCCAAGGAAAGTTTAAAATCCCTGTCCAAAGGAGTACCAGAAATTATATAATTAAATATAGAGAGAGCCCACAGGGCAGCCGGGCACTGGAGCCATGGCTTCTCAGCAGTCTCGGCGGGGCTGGGGAATTTGGGGCAGCGCCCAAGCAAGCCAGGTCTGGTAGGCGCAGAAATGGAGCAAGAGTCACAAAATGGAGAACCTGCTGAAATTAAGATTATCAGGGACACATACAAGAATGCTTTTTTATTTGTTGATAAAGGTTTGGATACAGATGAATTAGGTCATAAGGAAGAAGCAAAGAACTACTATAAGCAAGGACTAGGACACCTGCTCGGGGGAATCAGCATTATATCAACAGAGCCTCAACACACAGGCCCTGGATGGGAATCTGCTAGACAGATGCAACAGAAAATGAAAGAACCACTACAGAATGTACACACCAGGTTAGAAATTCTAGAGAAAGGTCTTGCCACTTCCCTGTGGAATGATCTTCAGGAGATACCCAAGTTATATCCAGAATTTCCACCTAAACACATGTGTGAAAAGTTGCCAGGGCCTCAGCCCTCTAAGTCACCTCCTCAGCATGCTGAACTAAATGGAAACACTGAAACTACAAGCTTAGGACCTATCCCTGCATCTTCTTCTCTAGCCTTACCATCTCCAAGCTGCCCAGCAGAAGCTCCTCCTGCTTACACTCCTCAGGCTGTGGAGTGTCACTACACTGTGTCTTATGGAACAGATTCTGGTGAAATTTCATCAGTTGGAGAAGATTTCTACAGGAATCATTCTCAGCCACCTCCTCTTGAGACCTTAGGGATGGATGCAGATGAATTGATTTCGATACCAAATGGAGTACAGATTTTTTTTTGTAAATCCTGCCGGGGAGGTCAGTGCACCTTCATATTCTGGGTACCTTTGAATTGAGAGGTTCTTGGATAATTCTCTTGATACAGTTCTAAACTGCCCTCCTGGGTTTCTTCAGGTTTGTAACTGGTTGTATCCTCTAGTTCCTGATAGATCTCCAGTTCTCAAATGTTTGTCAGAGCCTACATGTTTCCTGATACAATGTTACAAGCAGCAGGATGCTTCGTGGGCATGGTCTTATCCTCTGAGCTACCAGAAGTTGATAGAGAACTCTTTGAGGATTTGTTAAGACAAATGTCTAACCTTCGACTCCAGGCCAACTGGAACAGAGCAGAAGAGAAAATGAATTTCAAATCCCTGGAAGAACAAGATGCCCCTCTGACCAAGTGAAAGAAGCTTCTGGTAGTGATGTGAGTCAGTTAGACCCTTCATTAGGCCAAAGCAACAAGGATGTGCGTCATAAAGGAAAATATAAGAAAAAGACTAAAGATACTTCAAATGAAGAAGTTAATCCGAGTCACATGGTACCCTGTGAGCCGGTTTCAGAAGAAAAAGCTAAAGAATTACCTGAGTGGAGTGAGAAAGTCGCTCAAAACATTTTGTCAGGTGCTTCCTGGGTGAGTTGGGGTTTAGTCAAAGGCGCTGAATTTACTGGCAAAGCAATCCAAAAAGGTGCTTCTAAACTCCGAGAACGGATTCAGCCAGAAGAAAAACCAGTGGAAGTTAGTTCAGCTGTCAGCAAGGGACTTTCTATAGCTAAGCAGGCTACAGGAGGAGCAGCCAAAGTCAGCCAGTTCCTGGTTGATGGAGTTTGCACTGTAGTGAATTGTGTTGGAAAAGAATTAGCTCCACAGGTTAAGAAGCATGGAAGCAAACTTGTTCCAGAATCTCTTAAGAGACAAAGATGGGGGCCGGGGATTTAGCTCAGTGGTTCTGCCGCCTGCTTCACAAGCACAAGGTCCGGAGTTCAGTTCTCAGTACCAGAAAAAAAAGAGACAAAGGTGGAAAGTCTACCCTAGATGATGCTACAGTTGTAGCAAGTAGTGTCCCAAGAATTTTCAACTGTCTGGCAGGGATTGGAATGTGCAGCTAAATGCATTGTTGACAATGTTTCAGCAGAAACCATACAGACTGTCAGATACAAATACGGGCATAATGCAGGAGCAGTGGATTCTGCCATCAATGTTGGTATAATTGCCTATAATGTTGACAACATTGGTATCAAAGCAATGGTGAAGAAAACTGCAAAATAAACAGGACAAAAACTCCTTGAGGACAATCAAATAACTGATAATTCTCAGAAGGAAGGTGAAGAAGGAATGTCAAATTCAAAAATGAGAAGACAGAAGGATGAGAAGAGAGAAGCAAAGAAGAAAGATAAATGATGAAAGTGCCGGGAAATACCTATACCAAGCCTCACCAAATGGAGGAAATAAGCAAATACAGAATTCTCCCCAGATTAACTGGTATTTTTTGAATGTATTCATTCCTATCAAATGACTGATGTAAGTGTTCTGGCATGTATCCCACTTACAAGGAAAACGATCAGCATTCTTGCATCTAGCCTTCAGAAATAATGAAGTTATATTCTCAGTAAGTTTATTTTCGCCCTAAATGTGGCTAAAATGTTTTTGCAGTTAAAATAAAGCTTATAATACATGGGCTATAAATCTCACTAAACCTAATGTTAATATTTTTCTATCTGCTCTCTTTCAGAAAGAAAAGTAGGAAATTACATATTTACATAAAATCTGGTATTTAGTAACCTTAGCTCTATTTATACTGGGAAAGAATGACCTCTAAAATATTATATTTTTGCACTAATTGTGGATCTCTTTAGGTGCTTGTCGGAATCTCCAGTGTGTAAGCTAAATAAATCTAAAAGAATTCTCAGATTCCATTTTCAAACAGGGAAGAGACTGATGATGGAAAATAAAAATGAGGCTCTATGAAACTATTTGGTAGCTTACCTGTTTGTTAGGAAATGAGGTCTTTTTCATTTAAAATAAACAAAAATACATCTTTAAGTCTTCTAGATTGTGACTGGTTTTGATGTATTTACAAACAGTATATTTTGCAGTATTAAGTAATTGAATTTACTGATGGTAAATATATTTTTATTTTTTTGATCCATACATTGGAATTTGTATTTAAAAGCTAGTAAGTTACAAGGGAAGGTTCTATTCACAATCAAGGTAAAGAGATGAAAACCTTAGGCTTAACCCAGGGTGGGTTAGCATGAGCAGTTTCTACTTTAGTGGAAGACAGGACACTCTGATCTTTAAGGTGCAAATATGTGTGTAAAGGCCTAATGACTATGCTTACTGATTTTAAAAGATTAATATTGGTATTTGTAGCTATCATCTATATAATCATTTCTGAACTTCTAGTGGCTAGTTTATTAGACTTTATTTGAAACAAGCTAAAAATGCACTTTGTGAATAAAGAAATTCTCTTAAAAAAGTGTATATATTTAAATTCTTAACATATTGAAATAAATGCTACACCTACACCTTGATAACAGCAGATTATTTTATTAAAATTCACCATTTTGGACTACAGCGAGAATTTCCCATTTATTTATTGTTTGTTTGTTTTTTGCGGTGCCCCAATTCTTCAAAGTTTTTTTGAAAAATACAAATAATGGAAATTTTTACCTGTAGTTAGTTGTTAGTGGAACTAGAAACAAGCGAAACATCGAAGAAAAAGAAAGTAAGAAAGTAGAAATTTTAGAACTCCCTTGGAAGTAAATTTTGGATCAAGAAGTCATTAAAACAGTAGGTGGCTCAGAAAGTCAGGAATGGGAAAAGAAACGAGGAAAACAGGGAAATAGAAATGAGAAAAAAATATCTCAGAGCTCAGAAAATGTAAAGGCTTTGAGCTAGTTACAAAATGATTTTTTTTTTCCGGGCTGGGGATTTAGCTCAGTGGTTCCGCCGCCTTCCCCCGCAAGCGCAAGGATCCGAGGTCCATCCCCGGGACCAAAAAAAAAAAAAAAAAAAGTTTTTTTTTTTTAAGAGAGGCAAAAATGTACAATTGAGGTGAGACAAGCAGAAAACCAAAGATGATGAACAGCCAGGAGGGAACAGAGGGGAGAGCATCAGGTCACTACCAGGTCAAGAGCCCTCACCCTTTGTCCACCTTGAATTTATACAATTTTTGTTTGTCAATTATACCTGAATAAAGCTGGAAAAGAAGAAAAATTTTCTTTTCGAGGGAGGCTGATACATTATCTTCAATGTGTGAGCTATTATGGTTGCCATAACATCATTACTAATAATTAATAAAAATATTTAGCTACTTAAGGATTTTTTCATCATTGATATCCCAGTACCGGACAAAGATGGTGTTGAGTATAATTTATGGAAGGTATTTGGGAGTATCTTTCTGGAGGGTGACCTGTAAGCTGAAGCTGCAAGGATTCAGAGAAACGACCATGTGAAGAAAAGTAGGGAGGGAGAGTGGATGGGTGGGTGGTGGAGGAAGGGTACAAGGGAGGGAGGTGGCCCCCAAGGGGATAAAATGAGGAAATGAAGACACTAAAAATGTAATAGAGTAGAAAAGAGAGGATGTCAAGGAGGGGCATTTTTTAGAGACACAGAAATCTCACCTGAAATTCACAAAACAAGATAGAGCATCTGTGATAGAATGACATGTGCAAAGGTCCTGTGGCAGGAAGGGAGTTCGGCCTGTTTGGAGAAGCCAGGGAGTATGGAGTATGGCAGAGCAGAGCTGAGCCCAGACTGGGGGCAGAGAGGTGGGCAATGGGCAGACACGCGGAAGATGACCCTGTAGTAACACACTTTGAACAGACACACTCAAAATGGACTAGATGCATTAAAGCATTCTAATTGGGGTGAGCCGTTTCCCACATTACCAACACACTATGTGGCTGAATTCACTGGACATTCTTAGGCCTCAAATCTCCTCATACTGTCATTTTTCATAGTTGATCTCAGAAACGCTATCTTTAATTGGCTTCTAAGGACCCCCATCCTCCAGGATCCCCTCCTTCCCCCCTTGGCAGCTCCCCCAAGCTCCTTTACAGCTCCCATGTTCCCCTGATAGTGTGACACTTGAGGATGGCCCAGAAATTGATTCCTTTTCTTGCTTTCAGAAATTATTTTGCCATTTCTTCCCACTAAGCCCTTTTGCAGACAGCTCCTCCCATACGCTTTGTGAGGGTCTTGCTGTCCGTATATGTGCACCTCATTCTGTGATGTGTGATATTTCGTTGCCTGCCCCATGGAGTGGCTTCTCGGCATAGAGCCGCTCCCCTCCCCTTGGCCACGGTCCTGGGTCTTTGGTGCACCTTTGCCCTTCCCGGCATTCTGGTAAGATCCTCATCTAAAGAAGGGTGAAGCCACACAGACCTGTGCTCAGCCTGCAGGGCACGTGCCCCAGAGTCCTTCCTCCCACCGCTGTGGGCAGCTGCACAGGCCCCACCTCCCCACCTGCTCCTGCTATGCTCAGGGCTCCTGTAGACACCTGCTGCTAATGAAGAATCACCTGGATGCTCCCCTCACAGCTGAAAATGGGGGAAAGCACAAAGGGGAAACGCGCACCCACTTAAAGGCCTGGCCACACCCTTCACTTGCTTATTCCCTTCAGTCATTGTCCAAACACTGAGCATACATGGCCCGAGTCCACTTGTGCCAGCCTTGCTGCAGGTAACAGGCAGAGGGGCAGAAAGATGGGACAGAGACAAGAAGTGGGGCAGCCATGCGTGTGATCGAGGGCACACTCTGAGACCAAGGAGCCCCTGACCAGCCCAGTGCCCCTGCACATGCCCAAGCATCCTTGGTCCTCAGGCCGCGCCTCAGAGGGACATGGTGAAGAGCAAATACAGCCATGCAGTGATTTAACACAGGAGCTGGTAAATGAGAAAGGCTTAGTCCATTGTGGGGAGGGGGTCGCCCCATGGGCTGGTTTAGGGTAACCCTGAGGGGAGGACCCCATTTTGCTGGGGGTCGGGGAGTTAGGTATTGCATCTCTGGGGATTTGCAAACAAAAGCTAAAATAGGGTCATTGCTCATTGGTTTTTTATTCACTATCCTAGAAGGTATTAATAAAGGCTTTAGATCATATAAACAGTGTAGGCCAAAAAGGTCTCTCTTCTCTAGGGGGCAGGAAATTTCCACTTCAAAAATAGCCCAAGTTGGAGGAACTCAGACACCTGTAAGCCTGCTCCTCCCTGTGTTGCAGGGACCCTGAGGCCCCTACACAGCCAGGGGCCCTGAGAAACACCAGAGCTTCTAAGTCACGAGGAAGCTCCAAAGTATGATGGTAGCTGGGGCTTGGCTTTTCCTCAAGGAGTTGCTTTGCCCCCGTGGAAGGGAAAGCCAAGGTCTTTGTGCTCCAAGCCAAGCCCCAGATCAGTGTTTTCTCCTACATGATGCTGCCAGGCAGAGTCTTACAGACAAAACCAGTGCTGTGTACCCTGAGAAGAAGCCATGTCCCCTGGGTTCATCTGGGGCCAAGGAAGGTCCTTTCTGAGCCTGTCTCCCTGGCTGCTAGCAAGGGGGCTGAGATCTGCTGTCCAAGGCCCAGGGTGAGGACAAATGGAGCAAGTGGCACCAGCCACCGATGAAAAGGCAGAAGAGCTCACAGTTTCCAAGACCATGGTGGGGTAAGGACCACTCAGGCCCTTTGGGGGCAGATGTGTCCTCTCAAAGCAGCTGGCAAGGCAGAAAATCATCATTCGTCAGGCACCTTGTCCACCACCAAGAGGCAGCCCTGCACTCAGGCATCATTAACATGAGGCACCCAGGCCTCAGAACTGGCCTCTCTGGAAGGGGGATCAGAGGAGCTCCCACTTAACCATAGCACTTATATTCTAGAGGGCACAAGAGGCCAGAGAAGGGGAGGGACTCAAAGGTCACAGGGTCCCAGGTTTCACCCAAGGGCTGCACTGCTCTGGGACAAGCTACTACCCCTGCTCCAGGAGACCCCTGGAGACACTGGATGTGACTTAGACCACAGGCCGCAGAGGTCCAAAACCCCAAGCTCTCAGGTCTCTGAGAGGTCAGTGAGCTGGGATTCTAATCCCAAACTCTAGCCCAGCCTGATGGGCTACACTGCCCACCCTTCCCTGGACCCTCTTCCAGGACAAGTGAGACAATGAAACCATCTCTTGGTTCCCTCCTGACTCTTCAGTGTCATAAAGAGCATCATCCAGGCCTTGCCAAGAACCTGACTTCCAGGACACCCAGGCCCAGGCCTTAGGCTAGCATTCCCAGCCTTGTTCCAATCTGCTTTGCCATAGCTCAGGCCTACTTCTAGCCATGACATGTGTAGCTGTGGGACCCTGCGAAAGCTACATAGATTCTCTGTGCCTTGGTTTCCACCATTGATAATGGGGATAACAAAAGGGACACCACTTCATAATGTTGGAAGGAAGAAGGCATGAGATTGATCATTGGCTTGGTCCCTTGCACACTACAAGTTGCTCAGGAGACGTTGGATGCCCAGGCTGGGCAGGACTTGGCCCAGGCCCTGGATCAGGGCGCTGGCCACATGTAAGAAGGGGGAGGCCTGGCATGCCTGGTCCACAGGAGCTTTGAGATCTGGTCAGGTTTGAGCTGTGGCGGGGGGGTGAGGGAAAGGATTTTCTCTTGATGAGGGTGACCCTTCCACTCAATCAACATTGCCCTGCTCCAAGGCCAGGCAGGGGAGCATTGCGACTTTGCTCACAAGAATCCTGACCCCAACACCCAGAAGCTACCTGCCCTCTTCCAACATTTGTGGTGATAATGGGGTGGGGCAAAAGGAGGGGGCTGGGCTTTGCCCTGTGGGGGAGGGGGAGGGCAACATGATGCCAGGAAAGTCTGGGAGATCTGGGCATCCGGGATCTTAGAGAAGAGCGTGCAGGGCAAAGATAGGCCCACTCTTGCCAGCTCTAAAACACAAGCTTCTTGGGCACCTCCCATGGGAACTCCTTTCTTCCAAAATGGCCGTAGCATGCTGTCTTCTGGTAGATCGGCCTCTTCAAGTCCAAATCCCTGCATGGTCAGCAGAAGACAAGGTCATTTTGAAATGGGTCTCTTTCCCTGAACTTTGAGCCCAGGAGCAGAAAATAGCCTTTAAGGGCAGCTTGTATGGAGCTTCAGCCTTACATGTCCTGCCTTTGCCACAGCCCCTCCTGTGTCATGGCTTAGGAAAGGGAGGCTCAGCTGCTCCCAAGAGAGCTGACCACACAGACACACCAGGAATGGGATTTAAACTCCACCTTTCTCCTCCCCTGCCCCCCACTGCCTGTCCCAGGCCAAGCACCACACAGCCAAGCTCCAGGAAGCAGGGTGGCATGAGAAACAAGAGCACGTGCAGTGCACTTCCAACTCAATTCCCAGCCAGTTGGCCTTATGGTTGCTTTTCTGAGGAGTTACTGTTTGCTGGGCCAGCAGGGCTCTCACAAGGCCTCCCTCAACTTGGAAGCTGGGCATCCCGTGCCCTGGTACACCCTGTGCTAGCCTGAGAGCCTCAGACCCTGACCTGTGGGCAGCTGGAAGGTCCTTTCTTCTGTTTTCCTTTCAGTCATGAAAGCCATGCATGTGGGGGAGGGAGGGGCAAAGTTCCATGAGCAGCTGGTGGCCCTTTTACCTGACAATGACACCTGGCCGGAGGTCAAAGTTCTTGTTCACCACCTCTAGCAGCTCCCGCTCTGTCTTCTCTGAGGTTCCATAGGTGAAGATGGAAATGGACAGTGGCTCTGCCACACCAATGGCATAGGACACCTTTCAGAAAGGCCACACTCAGAAACATCGGTGTCCTCAGGCAGGGACAGCAGAGGCAGGATGGTGGGCTCAGGAATGTGGGGGCCAACCTACCTGCACAAGCACTCTCTGGCAGAGCCCAGCTTTCACCAGGGACTTAGCCACCCAGCGGGCAGCATAGGCTGCTGAGCGGTCCACCTTGGTGTAGTCCTTTCCAGAGAAAGCCCCGCCACCATGAGCCCCCCAGCCTCCATAGGTGTCCACAATGATCTTGCGGCCAGTGACACCTGCATCCCCCTGCAGAGGCAAAGAAACAGAGGGAAGATATGAGTACCTGAGCCCCTGAATAGGTAGAGGGGGCTGAAGCCCTTGAGAAGGATACCCTGAAGGTGTCTTCAGGTCTTTTTCAAAGACCCTTTGGCTGGGAATCTTCCAGAAACCCAAGATTCTCATCCCGGTTCCAACACTGACTACCTATGGAAATCAGGTGACCTATCAGCACTTTACTGGAAAAATTCAGAATGTGGACAGAACTTGCCTGGGGTCACAGCCGCCCCACCCACCATGCCTTTGAGTCCATGATAAGGAGAAATCCATCTGCAGGCAGGAATTACACTGCAAAAACAAAAACACTGGGTCATGGCCCAAGTGGTATCACCAGCTACTCCCATGTCACCCTTTCCAAGTATTCCTTGTGTATCTTTGATCAATGTAACTGTTAATCCTGACATGTCAACTTGATTGGATTGAAAAACACTTAGCAGATTAGTAAAACACACTTCTGGGTATGTCTGGCTACTGTATATGGCCCCACGCCAGTTCCTCTCTGGCACTGTTCCTCTGCTTCTGAGCTGCCATGAACTAAAGTAAGCATCTATGCTCCCCCACAGCCTTCCACCATGATGTTCCTGCCTCGGAGCCAGCTGACCATGGACTGAATCCCCTGAAACTGTGCATCAAATAAGCCTCTCCTCCTTTAAGTTGCTGGTGTCTGGTATTGTATCTCAGCAAGGGAAAGCTGATTAATACATTCCATTAAAATGCAGTTTAAAGGGTGAGTGGTCTATGCTAAATGATTTGGGGGGAATCTGCTTACTCTAACCCCCTTTTTAGGGTTCACTCTAGTGTATCTAGGCTTTGAAAAGTCCTGCAAGAAAAAACTTCCTTTTACCCCATTTTCTACACTCCATTTGCCCCCAGAGCTCAACCCACAGCTGCGGTCCCCAAGCAGCAGTCAGTTGCCTCTTGAAGGTGCTCTGCCATTTGATCTCCACCTTCTCATTTCTGTAGAACAGAGCAAGGGAGTAGCAGGGGTTCCCACTAAGAAGTCTCTGCCCCACTGTGGCTCCCACAAGAGCTGGTGGCAGTCACAGCAGATACCCAGCAAGTGCCACCTGGGAAGGGGCAGCCGTGAGCAAACATGCCAGTGGTTTGTGAGTGAGACCCTGAGCTTGGCAGGGGAGTGGCTGCTGTGCACAAATGAGATGGCATTTGAGACTCCTAGGGATGTGTCCTCACTTCCTTAGGTACTGACAGATATACAGCACACTCACACACACACACACACACACACACACACACATGCACACACGCCAGAGTGCACTAAATACATGAGACTAAGTTCAAGACTTCATACTTAGTCCCCAGCCAGCCCTGCTGAGCTGCTCAAAGGTTTCTCTTGCAGTCTTTGTGCTCTGGAACACAAGTCACTTTAGGGACCCGGACACACCTGGGGGCCACCAATGACAAAGCGCCCGCTGGGCTGCAGGTGATAAATGGTGTCTTCATCCAGATACTTGGCAGGCACCACGGCCCTGATCACCTGCTCCTTCAGAGCCCTGCGCATGTCCTCCAGCGAGATGTCCTCGTTGTGCTGCACGGAGATGACGATGGTGTGGACACGCACAGGAATCACTGCACCATTTTTCTGTGTGTACTGAACTGTCACCTGGGCATCAGAAGGGCAGGAGAGATGTTATGAGGCTGCAGCACAGCACAGAGGTTGGCAGGACCCCTGAGGACAAGTGAGGCCACCTATCCTCAAAGAGCTTTGGAAAGCTTAATGTGACAAATTTTCATATTGGAAAAATTGCCAGGTACTGTGAGGTGACTGGGCATAAGGCAAAGCTGTCCCATGTGTGACCTCAATCGGCACTACTTAGAGATGAGTTCCCTCTCAGCTGTGACCCACCAGGCTCCTGCCCTGCAGTTCCAGAGGTTGCTGGGTGCCAACAAATGTTCCCTTGGCCAAATTCCTCTTTTGACCCTCCACAGCCTCTGGCCAAAGTATCCTTGCTCCTGCCAATGACAACAGGAATCTATGGACCATGTGTCACTGGCAGGGACAGGAACACCTTGGCCTGGGCTGTGAAAGGTCAAGAGAAAGCTTTGGCAGGGCAGACTTGAAACCCAGAGCCTCTGAGACAGAAGGTGAGAAGCCTAGGGCGTGACTCCAGCACCCTCAGTGGGGGATCCCTGGAAGCATCTGGAGCCAGTGGACTTGCCTGCTGTAGGGACAAGGGTGGGAGGGACCCGGCCAGAGTGGATGAGATAAGAGGGAGCAGCTATCTCCAGACCAGCTCGAGACTGGGTGTTTTTCCGGAAGAAAGGAAGAGTATAGTGTACCTGGGGGGAAGGACCCGCCTGTGATGTCCTCACAGGTCAGGTCACAGGCATGGACCGAACACAAACTCCCACCTGCACAGGCCAGTTCTGCTCCTATCTTGTGCACTATGTTAATATATCAGGCATCACCATGTAGGCAGCTGTCCCCACTTCACAAAGGAAAAACAGAGCAAGGGGAAGTAAAACCAGTTGTCTTGTGTCACACAAGCAGCAGGTGAAAAGCCAGTATCCAATCTCTGCTCAGCCCAATCCAAAAGCCATGTCACTCCCACTACAGCACAGACAAAATGCTTCTGTACGGACCCTGTCCTTTACGGACACATCACTGAGCACAGGAGTCTGATGTCACAGACTGATCTGCCTTGGTGACAAAGGAAAGCTACCTGGATTACCTGGGTTTGCAGAGTGTGTGGTAAGGACAGCAAGGAAGCCAAGAAGGGAAACAAGCATGAGTTGAGTGTGCACTGTGTCCTACAAGCCATGCCAAAAATGAAAAGCTGTTATAAGCCCATTCTACAGAAAAGAAAGTTGAGGTTGCAGATTGAAAATATTTGGTCAAGATTACATGGAAGAGCTGGGCTCTACCTGGTAGCTTTGTGACCTCAGGCAGGATTTGTCTAGCAGAAAGTTGCCACTGGAGACCCCAAGTCAGGTGCCGGACCACAGGCCTGATGCTGCCCAAAGCAGTGTGTACCCATCAGAGCAGGTACATTGTGTCCAATGACAAAGGACTGCTCCCTGCCCTGGGGCCTATTCAGGGCACGGGGCAGCAGGAAGTGCCTCCCTGGGGCTGGGCCCACAAAAAGGTCTCTGCCCAGCCAAGGTCTCTCAGACATCCATCTAATCCTCGGTCTGTATCAGACTTCTACTCTGTGTCCTGCCTGGTCCCAAGAGCAAAAGGGTGGGATTCAGAAGAAGAGATGAGAGCCCAGGCCACCTGATGCCTGACCCTATGAGACGGCAGATGCACAGGGCCACAGACTGAGGTTCAAACGCCAGGCTAGGAGCTGGGGTCAGGGTTTCCAGGAGGGAGGCCCTGGGAAGGCTCAAGGACCAGAGGAGCACCCATGCTCCAACCCCCACCAGGCCCACCCCAGGTAGCGCCTTCACAGAAAGACAGAGCTGGGTGGGTGGAGCAAAGGGCTCTTATCTCATGGCGTCAGCAAGATATGGGGAAAAATACACCATGGAAAACATAGCTCCGACCAGGGACAAAAATAGCCACCGTCCTGCCACCCAGTTCTCAGTATCACCAGCAAGAGTTTGTTCAGGTGGAAAGATTCATCCTGTTCAGTCAACACTGCTCAGTGCTGAAAATCCTTCACAAACAGGGTGCAGGGAAAGAGCCACTAGGCTGCTCCTGGCATGATGGCCCTGCCAGGCTGTGTGGGGAGGGAGCCAGGCTGTGCTGCGGCCCAGGGGCTACACAGAGCTCCAATGGCAACTTGCATCCTCTCCGGCTGGAGTTGGCACAGGGCTGCCTGTAGCAATGGAGCCAGGCAGACCTCTGACATTCATGGTACCCATCTCTCCTCCTTCCCTTGATGCCCTAGACTTGGACACTTTTTTTGTAGTGCTAGGGATTGAACCCAGGACCTTTGCACATTCCAAGCCCTTTTTATTTATATTGAGGCAGGGTCTTGCTATAACACTAAGTTTTCCAGGCTGTGCTTGAACTTGAGATCCTCCTGTGTCAGCTTCCCAGAGCACTGGTGTTGCAGGCATGCACCACCATATCTTGATTTGACTGGGACACTTCCTGTTTCTTATCTAAGCACAGCGAAGGAGATCTTTCCTCTCTGGTGCAGATGGTCTGACAGGTGGACCTTCCATTGTTCACTCTCACCCCAGGAGGGTGCTCAGTGGGCTCCACCACTTCCTCCCAGCGCTGCTCTGGGATCTGCTTTTCTGAGAATCTCCACTGTTTTAAATCACAACAGTATTCCTGCACAGATGGTCAGGGTATGCCCTTTTCTTTCTAGACCACCACTGTTTACAAACATTAGCTCTCCTGGCCCACAACCTGAAATAATACCGAGAGATCCCGGGCTCCTGCCTCCCACCTTAGGGGTCACCTAGATAGCACACAAAGCCCCAAGGAGGGATCTCTTTGGGCCACAGCACACTCCCTAGTCCCAGCTGCAGCCAGTATGTAGTGCCTGCCCTGTGCAGGGACTGACACTTGGGACAAGGACAATTTGTGCAATGGGGAACAGGACAGAGCCACATGCACCACAGTGAGATGCAAAACCCTGTGTATTGATTCCAAGTGCAGGCTCAAGAGAAAGTGTTGTATGATGGCAGCCAGGGCTGGCACCCATAAACATACCTGTACTTGGCTGGCCCCTTGTGGGCAGGTGGGGGCCACAGAAGACCCCAAGTAAGTCAAAGGGTAGGGGCATAGATGTGAAGCACCAAGAAAAAAGGGGACTGAGCACAGTGATGTCTGCTAAGCCAAGATGGGGTGGGAGGGAGGGGTGCTGGCAGAAGAAGGTGAAGCTGGGAGATCACAGAAGGCTTCAAGTGCCAGAATGAAAAGGGGTCTTTCTCTCCTCCCACAGGAAGCAGAAACTTGGAGGAATACTAAACAGACATTAGGAAATTAGAAGTGGAGCCTGTAGGAAGTCGATTGGAGATTCCCAGCAGTGAGAATCTTTGAGAAGGGAGGGCCAGGACGCTAGCCCGGCTGGAACAACAGGGAAATTTAGGGGCCCAGGTAGAGTGAAGACAAAGATAGCTCTGAGCAGGGCTGGAGAATAGGCAATGCTATGACTCAGTCCTTCAACAGAGGAGGTGACAGGAGCACCGCACTGCAGGCTCTTGAGCACATGTGTATGTGGGGCACTGAGAATGTGGCAGGTGATTTCAAGTGGCAGGGGTGGGGGAGTTGGGAGCTGAGTGTGTGACAGAAAGATGGGATCCAGAGCATGGAGCACATGGAGGAAGAGGTGCCAAGATGTGAGGAGTCACATGGTGGAATATGGAAGAGGAGGTGGAGCAGGAGATCATCAGGAATGGAGCCATCAGAGTTAAACCAGAAGGGACATGTGAGTGAAGGCCAACAGGGAGGTCCACATGTGCCATGCTTGTGCAGTGGCACCCCAGCTTTCAGTGCTGCCCTTCAAATGGAGGTTTCAGGATGATTTCAACACTGCAGGGAGCAGAGAGCTCAGGGCCCACTGGGCCAGGACTGGACCCAGCACAGGTAAAGCTTTACCATGAGAAACAAAGAGAAGCAAAAGGGCCACAGGGAGTCACAGACAGCCAAGACATCCTGTTGAAGATGTGGAGACCAGGTGAGTGTGGAAAAGCAAGAAACAAAATGCCTGAACCCTGTGAAGAAGCAAGGAGCAAGGCTTCAGCAGGAATTGGGAGTCATCAGAGTCTACAGGTGACAAGGTAAAATAGGATCTAGAATTGCCCTTGCAACCTTTCTGTGGTTTTGAAATTTTGTATTAAAATGTACTAGAGGTGGGGGGGGTGGATTTATAACACACATTTTCAAATAAATAACCTTTTCAAATAGACAATTTGGTGAGTGTGCAGACCAAATATTTTGATCTCAAAAATGGCAAGAGTCAAGAGGACTGGGTGCCTGAAATTCTGGGGAGCTGTACGGGAAGTCCCGAAGGTCACGCACCTGGGTCTTGGAGTCTGGCCTCAGCCAGGGAAGGGCGCTGGTGCGCCGCAGCTCCGCCATGCGGGCATTGAGTTTGTGTGCAAGGATGATGGTGAGGGGCATGCACTCCTCCGTCTCGTCAGTGGCGTAGCCAAACATCAAGCCCTGCAGCCACACACGGGTCAAAATGAGCTCTCACTACCAGCCTGACAGCTTTCCCCAAATCTACAATTTCCACTTTTACTGGATGCCCCGTACACGGAAGATTTTGCACTGGGTAAGTTTGAAGGGAAGACACCATCCCTAACCCCCCAGAACTCTAGGAGGGGAAGACAAGCCCCCCTCAGGCATTAGCAACTTCAGCCTTCCATACCCAGCCCCCAAATTACTGCCATGAAGCAGGAAAACCACCTCATTCCAGGCGTGCTCCTCCAGCTCATGCCTGGGTAGTGGGTCTGCCCAATAGTGTGAAATGCAATTACTCCTCTACTATTTTTTTTTTCAGTACTGAGGATTGGGTATTGAACAAAGAACACAGCTATATCCCCAGCCCTTTTAAATTTTTTATTTTGAGACAAGGTAGGCTTGAACTTGCAGTCCTCCTGCCTTAGCCTCCCAGAGTGTTGGGATTATGGGAATTCACCACCATTCCCCAGGTCCTCCCTGCAGGTTACAGCCTGGAGACAGATTACACTAGAGTGATGTCCCCCACAAGTTCCTATGCACAATGCTGAGATACCTGATCTCCAGCACCAACATCCTCTTCATTTCTGTCTAGATGGACACACTGGGCAATATCTGGGGACTGTTGCTCCAAAGCTACCAGCACATTGCAGGTCTTGAAGTCAAAGCCTAGGCAGAGGGCAGAGCACACCTGAGTGGGGACAAGTGTCCGACTGGCAGGGTGGTAGACAGCTCTGTCCCTTGCATGGTGTTTAGTGTCAGGGTAGATGGTCTCTGACCAGCTGGCATCTGTCTAGGCCCATAGCTAAGGCTCAGGATAGCATGCAAAAGTCATTGCCCTTCACAGGGATTCTTGACACATCTCTGATACTTTCATGCATGTGCAACTTTAATCACGCATGAGTGGCTGCACCAAGTCAGGCTACTGGCAGTCGGAAATTGTGTGTCTCCTACCACGAGTGCCTCTCTCACTTATAAACATGAAGCATGGGTATCTCTGCTTCCTGGATCCGCAAAGATGCCACAGGTCACCTAAACACCCAATATGTGACTGAGGCAGGAGTGACCACCTTCCAATAGTCATGGTCCTGTTTGTGAGTCTTGATCACAGGTGTGGATCTGGGAAGGTTGGTCTGGAAGTGGACCTTCTTGCCATGACCTAAAATTCTACAACTTTCCAGGTAACTGTGGCAAGTGAAGAGAGCCAACAGAGACCCAAAGGGAAATTTTTCTTTAAAAACTGGTATTATCTGAGTTTATTGTGGATTTGGGGCCAGAAAGCCAGTGTAGGAAGCAGGCCCTGAAGCTCCCTTGGAATGTCACTGTCCTCAGGCCCCAGGTCTGGTCCCTTGGGGTCTGTTGAAGCACCTCCAAGCCACGCTGCTCCCTGGCCTGCTCTCTGGACACTGAAATATGCTTTAAGGCCCTGTGTTCCTTCTAGCTCTGACCTGCCTGTGAGAGAAGTGCTTCTCCCCAGTCTCTGACAGAGCCAGGCCCCTCCTCTGGGCTTTCACCCCCCACACTGCCTGGCAAGGGCACTGACCTGAGCCAGCCCATCTCCCTCACTGCTCTCAGTCCCAGAACTGGACTGAGTCATCATTCTCTGTGCCAGTGGTGGATTCCCCAACCTGGTGGCCTTTCCCTGATTGCCACCTGCAAATTGTTTATTTCTCTAAGCCTCGATTTCTTCATCTGCAGAAGAAGTACATCAGAGTTTCCACAATGATTAAGGGAGACAGTGCCCAGCAAAAGACCAATACAGTGCTTGGCAGAGGGCACGTTCTCAACAAAGGTGGCTCCCTTTGTTCAGCACTGCTTTCCTTTCCAAAGCCTTTGCCAGCACCAAGAAGGCAGGACAGTAATGAGATTCATCCACAATAGATAGGCGTAGGCTGTTCCCTCTGCTGCTGCCCTACACGGTCAGCTGTAATACTCTTGTCCAAGCCTTGGGCCCTTGGAACCTGACACGTGGGTCTAGCGACAATGCTTCTATAATCAGGATTTGTACTCCTCTAAAACTAAGGCTCAGGTTCAGCCCAGCATCAAGGGCTCTCTCAGCAGAAACCAGCCAGCATTCTGGACCCAAAGGCTGGTCCTCACCCTTGGCAGAGTCGTCATAACCAATGTGTTTGATGGTGTCCCGTACCACACGCTGATAATCCACCATGGCCATGGAGGTGATCTCCCCACACAGCAGCACCATGCCTGTCTTGCACACTGTTTCTGCAAGGAAAGGCGTACAGGTCAGCAGTCACATACCACCAGAGGCGAGCATGAGCTGTCACATGAGGATTGGGCCTCAGAAAAAAAATAATGCCAATAAAAAGAATCAGGCCAGCAACCATCACTGAGCATCACCACGTGCTGCCTGCAGAAAGATGCTTTGGGAAGGACCAGTTACACTTGAATTTTATACCTACTATTTGTAGGATCTTGGACAATTTATTTAACCTAAGTCTCAGCTTCATCAACTATTCTGTGAGGATAATTCTAAGACTGTGGATTAAAAGAGACAATGGTTGTATGTGGCCGTCATAGTGAACACAGGTCACCTGTCCCATTCCCACATATTGCTTACAGCCCACTGCAAGCTGCAGGGAGTTGGATCAAAAGAATAAAACAGACCAACTTTATGTCCAGCTGTTTACAAAGATATCAGGGTATTATCTACCCTCTGAGAGGCATGGGTCCCTGAAGTATTTGACACAGGGACCAGGATGCCATCAGAGATGGAAATATGGTTCTGTGTAGGAGACAGGACATGGTGCTGATGGTAAGGACAGTGGGACTCTGGTCTCTATGCTGAGTTCCCTGCCCCAAGCCTTGACCAGTGGCCTGATGCGCTGGCATCGTGATCTCTTCAGTGAAGTGAGCAGGCTGGACCTGAGCTGTCCAGGATCCAGGGTTCTTGGCTCTGCTGTTGTGCCAAGTGCTTCAATCCTGGCAAGGGTGAAGAGCTTATTCCACAAATAACAGTGAAGATCTTCAGCACACATCAGCCTCCAGGATACAAGGAGGGCTTTGACATTAACATGCCTTAGGAAAGCTGCTGCTTTCATTATGAGTATTTGATGGAGAAGTTGCCTTTCATAAATCACTTTAATGCCTGAGTCATACCACCAACTAGGATGGAAAAGCAGGGAAGAAACCAGACTGCACAGCCATCAAAGGCTCTTACAACAGAAATGTAGCTCATGGCCATCTAGGCAGTTCTGTAGCTTTGAAGTCATCCTTCTCATATGGAGGATTGATCTCAGAACTTTGAAAGGCCTCTCCACCCCCCAAAAAATCAAGCATCAGGAAGGCCTGCAGTGATCCAGCCCTCTGCTCTTTACTGAGGCTAAGATAGTTAATGCCAAATTCTTGTTGAAAATGATTACTGATCTGTTTCATGGTTTTCTTCCCTGATCCAACACGGTGTGGGAAGCCCACACCATGAAAACTGCTCTGCAGACTGGAGCACATGGACTTTTACCACTCTATAGTTTCAGGTCCGCTATGCATGTCTCACCCAGCCCAGTCAGCTGTCCAGCAAGAAGGGATGGGTCACTTACCGCAGGCCACCTTGGCATTGGGGTCTTGCTTGAGGTGAGCATCCAGAACAGCATCACTGATCTGGTCGCAGATCTTATCTGGACAAAAACGAAAAAGGGTATGAAAGTAATGAGTATAACTGAACTGTTGAGTAAGTGAACTGTTGAGTAATTTGATATTCTGTCAGTTTGCAAATCAATTCTACCTACCTAACAAGACACATTTTTAAACATAAGAAATTAGAAATATTTTGAATATTTTATTCTTTTCATTTCTGCCTCATTTGGGGAGATATCCATTATATAAATTATAGAATTCCCTAGAAAAAGAAATATGTTTCAAAATCAGCTCTTCTAAGACTCTAGAGCAATACACACACACACACACACACACACACATCATCTAAAATGCCTCTCATTTTTCAGCAATATATTCTAATTCTAAGATCTAGAAATTGCCTAGAAATAGAATCTAGAATCCTTAAAAAATGTCAGTAATATTAGGTGCTAATATGCCAAATCAGATACAAATAGCTGCACTACATTCCGTCATATAGAACACCACACCCAAGTATACAGTGCTGTCCAGAAGAATTCCACAAGAGCAGGTGGTGGTGACTCACAACTGAAATCTCAGCTACAGGAGGCTAAAGCAGGAGAATTACATCAGCCTGGGTAACTTAGCAAGACCTTATATCAAAATAAATAAAGGGCTGGGGATGTAGCTCAGTGGTAGAGTGCTAGGTTCAATCCCCACTACCATGAAAACAAATAAGCACAAGAATTCTCCCAAGAACACGCCTACACATCGTTGCTCTCTTGCAGAGCGTTTCCATGAACATCTTGAGCCTTCTCGTGGTCACTGAAAACCAGACAGCCCAACAGCTGGGTTGGCCCTCTGCAGTCAAGATAGGGATGACAAAGGTTCACCCTGAGATAGACTTGATCTTGTTCTTCTACTCTTTGTCTTGAAGACTCCATGTGGTCTAACATGTAGATCATTAAATATCACTGTGGAAAATTCTACTCTTGTTTTGGGTTTATGCAAACTGAATAATCACAAGTGAAGAAATAAATAAATGTGACCTCTATTACACAAATTACATCTCATATTATGTTCAAAATACTTATGGGTGCTCTTAATAGATTAATACATATTTAAGACTCAAGATCTGGAATCAAGCAATTCTACTCTCAAAAGCAACTAAGTTTTAAATATACATATGCCAAAGATATATAGCACCCATGTTTGTCTTATCTGCCATTTCTAATTTCTTCTTCAGAAACTACTACTAAACATATGTTTGGGTTTTTCTGTACACCTTTCTGCTAGTGGCAGATCCTAGTTGTAAATCTATGTTCATCTGAGTACATAGATTCTGCACACACCCACCAGGAAGACCTCCCACAGCTAACATATCCTGAAATGAGTATATGGTGGCCACCTCAGACCTGCCCATTAGGATCCCTTGAAGGTATTCCCAGTATGATTTTGGATTTCTCAGCTTGGTTAAAGGACCCAGTGCAGATGCAACACTTATAGAGACAAAGCCAGAGTGCAGCAATGTCATCAGGACAGCACCTCAGGTAAGATAATGCATAAGGAGGTCCTTTCTGAAGTTTCTTCAGGCTCCAAAGTTTCTAACAATATCACTGAGTAGGCTCAAGATAGCCAGGAGTCAGTTTTCTTGAAATTCAAAAAAGAAACAAATTTTATCTTTCCGAAGGGCATGGAATGAAAAGCAGAAGTCAACAAGCCTTAGAAGAAACTGACTTACTAGGACAGTTAATTTATACTAGTGTCTTAGTTATTTTTCTCTTTGCTGAAATAAAATGCCAAATACCCACAAGTTAAGGAGGAAAGGTTTATTTGCCTTACAGTTTATAGAGGTTTCAGTCCATAATTGGCTGGCTCCAAGCTAGGGTGGCATGGCAGACAGGCATCACAGAGGAGAAATAGTTCATGGGAATAGAAGGTAGCAAACCAAGCAAGAGACAAGACAAGCCTCTTTCTGCTCCTTATATTGTATTCAGGCTACCAGAATTATGGCATTACCAAACCAATCAGTAGACAGATTTAGTAATCACCCACATTTAATCCTAGCACCCTCAATGCTAACATTGCACCATGAATCAATCACATACTTTAGACCTAGATCGAGCCACCTCTGAAAAAGCCCCACCTATGACTGCAAGAGGGTTTGGGTGGACATCTAGATACAAACCATAACATTCCACCCATGGACCTCCAAAACTCATGCGCATCCTATTATGCAAAAGGCATTTAGTCCATCCCCAAAAGTTGCCAAAGTCCTAACAGTTTCAGCATTGCTGAAAAGTTCAAGTCCAAAGTCTCCTCTGAGATTTATAAGGCAAACTCTTAGCTGTGAGCCCCTGTAAAAATGAAAAAGAGGTTAAACACTTCACACATTCAATGGCACAAGATAGCTATTTCCATTCCAAAAGGTACAAATAAAGGGATGCAAAGGAATGGGACCAAAGCAAGTCCAAAATCCAGCAGGGCAAACATTAAGTCTTGTAATCTCATGTCCAGCATCCAAAGCAATCTGTGGTAAGATGTGAACTCCAAAGGGCTTGGGTGGCTCCATCCCTACAATAGTTCTAGTGCTACATACTTCTGGTAGCTCCCACAGTTTCTCTCTTGGGCTGACTCTGCTCCCTCCTTGCAGTTTTCCTCAGACAATCCAAGTTTCTGGCTCCTCCAAACTTCTGGGGTCTCCACTATACCTTCAGCTTCATATTCACAGCTTCACACACTGCCCTCTCAGGGGCACACTGCCTGGTCTCCTAGGCCTTCTTCTGAAATCTGGGTGGAATCCTTCCTGAGCCCACAATTCTTGCATTCTGCATTCATCTAAAACCAGCACCATGTGGATGATGCCAAGGTCCGCCAGGCCTCCTTCCCTCTTGTCTATAGGGGTCGAGTGCCTAGATCGCTGAACACTCTGAACTTAATCCCAAGGAACAAATTCTCTAGGCTGCCACCATTCTGGAACATAGTGCTCTGGGGCTCTCTTCTCAGAGCAAACTCTTTCACCTTTGCAACTCTTGACGCTACAAAGGCTGGAGTCCTACTGGTTCTAGTGATGTCTTCAGGCCATCTTTTCTGTTGTCTTCTTCTGAAATACTTGACTTTTTCTTGCTAATATTTTCAGTGACTAATTTCTTCTCTGTTCCATCTTTACAAACTGCAACTTTACTGGAGCTTCCTTTCTGGCCAAACTCACAACATTTTAAATCATTCTCCTAGGGTCTTTGCTCTTAATTTGAAACATAAATCTGGCTAAAAGCCCCCAACAATAGCTATGCGACAGCCTCAGCATTAGACTGCCTTGAAATTCCTTCTGCAGGATTCATTAGTCCACTGTCTGCCCTTAATCTCAGTCTCAGGTAAAGTCTCTGGACATGAGCAAAAACCTTTCTGCCAAGCCATAACACACATTATCTGGAGTCCAACAGCCAATGTAGTCTTTTGCAGCAGAAACCTCCCAAGCCTGGTCTTTACTGGGAGCATTTCTATCAGCATGCTGGTCTTCTGAGCTCTGACCAGAATCTCCCATCAAGTACAGCCTAAGGCTTTCCAGGGATGCCCTTTCAGCCAGTATCTCTGTACCTTTCCAAACTCTTCCCACAAGCCAGTTCCAAAGGCTCCTGAACCACATGGTCAGCTACAGTCACAGCAACTACCCCACTTCTCTGGTATCAAATTCTGTCTTAGTTGGCTTAGTTAGCTTTTCTCATTGCTGAGACAAAATACCCAACACTAACAAGTTAAGGGAGGAAAGGTTTATTTAGCTCACAGTTTGTAGAGATTTCAGTCCATAATTGGCTGGCTCCGAGCCAGGGTGGCCTGGAAGACAGGTATTGCAGAGAAGAAACAGCTCATGGGGGGCAAAAGGTAGCAAAGCAAGCAAGAGACAAGACTCTTTCTGTCCCTTATACTGTATCCAGGCTACCAGGATTAAGGGGGTGCCAAACTAATCAGTGGACTAATTTAGTAATCATCCATTCATTCCTAGCACCCTTATTCCTACCATTGCACCACGAACCAATCACATAACTCTAGATCCAGCCACCTCTGAAAAAGCCCCACCTATGACTGCATGAGGCTTTGGGGAGACATCTAGACACAAGCTACAACAACTGGTAAATGAAAATAGAATCAGACAAATTTATGGGCCGTCAGTAAAGACACAAAACAATCCATGGATTGGCTAGAATTTTTATTCCCTGTTCACCAAGCACATTACTGTTGCGTACAATATGCAATGCTTAGGGTCACTAGCCACTCTATGCTATAGAACCCACTTCCCCCAGGTGGGGATCTTTCTCTTAACCTACATGTAATGCTCATAAGCCATTGAACTAACCAGAGTATATCAGACACAGCCATGTATCCAAGGTTAGAAGTACAAGAAACCTACAAAGTTTATCTATAAATTTATACACAGTGAAAGAGGCTGTTTATATTGAGTTAAGTAAATCTCATACAAAGTAATCTAATTCAAGGTTTTTCAAGAGCTGCACTATTAATATTTTGAGCCATATAATACTTTATAGTGGGGCTATTTTGTACATTGTAAGATAAAGTTTAGCAGCATGCTTGAGAGACTCTATCCAGCTGGTGTTAGGAGCACTTTCCCTCCATTCCCCAATGTTGTGATAACCAAAAATGCATAAAATGCTCTCGAGGGAAGAGGAACAAAGTTACCCCCAGTTGAGGACCACTGGATGATATACACAGAAGGATCAGTGCATTGGGATGGTCAGAACCATGTTACAAGTTATAAAAGTTAAAACTTTGGAGGAAAGAACAAGAACAAGGAAAATGGGAAAAGGAAGGGTCAGTGATGAGTTACTACACACCTCAAATACTTAAATGAATTTGAAGAAGTACTTGAACACATAAATCTGTGTGTCTAGTCCCCAGGATTCTCCTGGTATAGTGGTCCTAAAACTGTGGTTTCTATACCAGCAGTAGCGGCATGTCCCAGGAACTTGTTTAAAATACAAATTCTTGAGCCGGTACCAAGACCTACTGAGTGAAGTCTGGCACTCTGCTTCACCCGGCCCTGTGGATGATGTTGACATACTCCATGGCTTGACAACCTCTCAGTCCTACAACTTGAAGCTCTGAGTACCTGGGCATGGTCCTGTCACCATGGAAGTTTCTGTCATGTTCCACATCAGAGCCCACCTGCCTTTCAGGGACCAAAACAATGCTCCAATTTCTTTTATTCTCCAAGAAGTCATAGGCGTTTCTCTTAGGTAATACACCTGAGACCCGCCAGCACCTGGAGACCCAACTCAGCTCCAGTCATTCATATTTACACTACACAGACTTTATATGCAGAACTAAGTGACCTATGGTCTTATTTAGGGAGCATTCTCTGTTGACTTAAATTGCTCAATGATCATAGATAAAAGCTTCACTCAAAATAAACACAAAAAAGTTAAGACCTGAAGGGACATTTTGTATATATCTTAAGCTTACTGTCCTCTCAGCCCCGCTGTGCCAAGATTCTGGTGATGGGCAGCTGCATGGACCCTCACCTTCATGATGAGCTACTGTTTTTACAAAACTATTTCATGTTGTCTCTCCAGAGATCCCTATTGTAACTAACAATCATCATTCTTAAGACTCCTAGTAAATGACTCCCTGGGTCTAGGTTGAGAAGGATGGATTTTTGATTAGGCCAGGACAACTCACTTACCTGGATGTCCCTCGCCTACAGACTCTGATGTGAACATGAAGGCTCCTTCTTCATTTAGAGAAAGGTCACACATGCCATCCACAGGTCCATTCATTGTTTCACAGTTCTTCAAGGTAACAATTTCAAGGCTGCAGCTTCACCAGCGTTTTTCTCTATCAACCCAACAAGCTTGTCTCTGGCAGAGCCACCAGATGGCTCCTGCCTCACTGCCTGGAAGCACGTGAGATCAAGGTGAGGATGGATGAGAGGGGAAGGTGCAGATGGAAGAGGCTGTGTCACTCCCTCCGCTGGTCAGAGCTGGCTCCTGAGTGACTCCTATATATGGAAAAGTGAAAGTACCTGAATAATCATGTGAGGACATTGGAGGAGTCCATTTCCTGGGAGGGGAGTATTCTTACCTTGAGGAATTTCATTCCCCAGTTCTGATGTCGAAGTACCTGGCCCAGGGAAAGTGAAGAAGCCTGTAGTGAACTGCAGAAGCTTCGTTAAGTTTTCCTGCAGCTCTCCAGCTAATCTATGTATTTTTCCAGTGCTTTCACCTCACTTTGGAAGGCAGAGGTTCTGTGATTACTCAGAGGTACAAACAGGCAGCATGAAATTCTCTCCCAGTGGATAGTACATGGTTCAGGCTAAGATTGCAACACTGGGCAGCTCTGTTGTTAAACACCCCTCCTCCTTGCCCCTTCTCCAGAGTGGGTTGGCCCCTTCTACCTCTTCAGACCCCGCAGGAGTGCACACCTGTACTCTGAACCAGCTGGGATGTTATACAACAGACTGATTTCAGAGGCAAAGCTTTTTGAGTTCACACTTTTCTGCTAACAGGAATCATCTAAACTGTCAACTTCTCTAAGGGGCTGGAGGCAAATTAACAAACAAGGTGTTTAAAAGGGGGGGGGGCTGGGCAAGTAATATAGAATAATGGGTTTTTGTTGTTGCTGTTGCTTTTGGAGATGGACTTTTGAGAGACAAATTCATTACAGAGAAACTATTAGAGTCCAGTTTCCCATAGCTGCCAGATAATAAATTAAATGTCCATACATTCAGTTCTATACACTAGATAAATAACTTGTTCACATGACCCTGCATTATTTTTGCCTTGACCAAAAATATGCTAGACTGAATTATATCTTTAGTTCATATACTAAATGATAGCATCTCTCAGCTCATTCTCTCCTGCTGGGGGACTGTGCTGCATCCTCACACGCAGGGGACAATAGAGAACTGAGGTCACAGAGAATGAAGACAGGCAGAGAAATCAATCCCCTCTTGAGTGGCATAAAAAGTAATCAACTAAAACTATGTGCATCATAGGTTGGACTATGGGAAGCAAAGGCAGGAGGCAGTATCCCGGACTAGAAATTCTGGTGGCTAAAACCTCCTCTGTACTTATTATACAAGCATTTTAATCTTTCTGGCACAAATTCTAGTGCTCCAAATTCTAAATTTTAGTAACTGGACCTCAGTAGTAGCCCAATCTCTTCAGGGAATCAAACCATATTAAAGGGACCACTTGCAGGATAATATGAGTGACTTTACATACACATATTCACCAAAGGCATTTAACACAGTGGGCTGAATGGCTTAGTCACAGCACTGCTGAAAGTTCAGAGAGGAAAAACCTGCTGGGGAGTGATGGACACCTAAAAAATCAAGCTGAGATTCTAGCCTTGTCATTGTTGGTACACAAGACCATTCCTGTTTGTACCTAAAATATTTCAACATTGCTATTCCTTTGTAAATGTCTTTTGGGAACATTAGATTCCAGAGACAATATGAGCTAATATTTAATTTGAACTCTACCCTAGCAGTTACAACTGTATGCAGCGATTCTGTGGAGAGGTGACAGGGTTGGAAGACATCCTGTCCAGATAAATGGCACTTTCAGAACTGTGCGCCAGAGGCTTCTGCAGTCTGGCCACCAACTCTGAGTGAATGGAAGATATGGAGATGACCGATCAGTACCGTCACACATATGAGTTTCTTATAACATAACTACTGAGATGCTTCACGATGTTTTACAAGATAGATGTTAGGGAACAGCACAGGTAGGATGGGGGTTACAAGTGCAGGCTTCAGGCCTAGAGCCCTGGCTTTGCCTCTAACCTTCCTGCAGCCTGGACCAGCCCTCCTAACCTCTCCAGCCTCCAGCTTTCTGAGCTATGAAATATATAGTAAATGATTATCTCATAGCATTTTTATGAGAAATAAATTAGACCATTTAGGTGTGATGAGTAGTGAACATACTGCTATCAAATAATAAAAATTTAATAAATAATGGCAAATATTATTAAGCAGTATATGCACATATATATGATTTTTTTTTTTTTTGGTACCTGGGATTGAACTCGGGACCTTGGTCTTTCAAGGCAGGTGGAAGCACTGCTGAGCTAAATCCCCAGCCCTATATATGATTTTTCTGAGCAAAACTAAATCATCATGTACACACACACACACACACACACAAATTTGTATCTTGCTTTTTTCCCATAATTTATTATGATCCTTTGTTTAGATCTCTATATACACACAGACCTCATTTTTTTTTAGCACCTGAATCACATCCCACAATAAGGATAAACTATAAATTATTTAACCATTAATTTACCAGTGGTTGAATGTTTTTTAGTTTTCCAATTATTCACTATCACAATAATTCTGCAGTGAAGAGACTTGTCAAAAGCATGTTTTTGGGCTGGGGATTTAGCTCAGTGGTTTCACTGCCTGCTGCGCAAGCGCAAAGACCCGAGTTCGATCCCCGGTACCAAAAAACAAAACAAAACCAAAAAAAAAAACAACGCAAAAGCATGTTTTTATAGAAGTTAGAATGAAAGGCTCTAGCAATACTAACCTAGCCAGAAAATTCCACTTCCATAATGAATTTTACCGGTTAGATTTTTTAAAATAGCCATCTACCCAAGAGTTAAAATAGCTTCAAACTACCCCTTTCAGAAAGAATTAGCAGATTTTGGCAAAGATGTAATTACTTTGCAAGCTGAACCCACAAGGACTTCACAGCCTTGCTCTCCATCTCAATTCGTGCACAGACTGTCCCAGTCTCCCTTGTGCATGGATGGTCCTAGTGCCATCGCCAACCCCATTGATTACCTAAGCTCAACATGTCAAAGACCCACAGTTTCTTTCACTTTCACGCAGCAACCTTCAACTTTGAACTTCACTATAAGCCTCTGACAACACTTGGCTATGAAAGTAGATCTCACTTGACCTGATTTATCCCAGTGATTCTCTGAGTCTGAAAGGGAGGACCATCCCCAGTAAGCAGTGAGTATGAGCCATGCTGGCCAGTTAATGAAGGAGTTTGAGGGCAGCCAATCCCAGGCAGCACTGTGAGGCTTCCAAGGTGGTAGGGAGGCCTGGTGAGACAGTGGCTTTCCCTTGTGCCTGCACTGCCTGCCAGATGGCCATGCCACAAGGAGATGATGGAGCAGTTCCGATGACCTTGGCCTCTGGATACAGAGAGGCAGCACGCAGTGCTTAGGTGAAGACTTCTAAACTCCAGCTTGAAACTTCTCTCACTTAAATGGCATAGTAACTGCAGGGACTATTTTCAAGATCTATTTCTTCTGTCTTATTCAATTTAAGCACACATTTTTCCTATATATGCCATCCTGGAACACAAATAATTTATTTATGACAGAAAGATAAAATTGATTCAGATTGTCTATTTTTTAAAATTTTAGATAATTTCTGTAATATACTGTATGACCCCCAGTGGGTGAAAAGTCCAAATAAGGTCCACTCCACATAGAACAGCAATCCTGAGAGAGAAGAAGGGCATATGGAGAGACTTTATAGAAAAAGCAAGACCTGAGCTAGGGACCAAAGGAATGACTGGAATTCAGAAAGGAAGCAGGGAAAAAAGGAAGCCCTGGGGGGCGTGGGGGGATCAGCTAAGAGCCACAGTGAAAGCGCCTTGTGTCAGCTGCAGGTGGGCAGGACAGGGCAGAGCACTGGGCAGGGAGCTGGGCAGGGAGGTGTCAAGCTCTGCAGAGAGGCTGTGAGGTGGGAGTTCCAGTCTGACAGGATGATGCCTACTAGGTCAGAGGAAGAATTCCAAAAGCAAAATGAAGGGGTTAAGACTCCTACTTTGATTCGGGAGTAACCTCAAGAAGATCATAAAATATAAGGCAAATTCAGCTAGGCATTGTCACTTTCCAAAGCTATATGGCTTTTCTCACTCCTTCACCTAAAAGGTCATCTCCCAGTGTTGCAGGCTTGAAATCTTAAGAAGTTGTTTAAATTCCTAATTATCTACAGTAATTTCAATTTTCCACAGAGCCTGCTCATTCCTTTTCAGAAGTGCCTTGGAATCCTCTCCCTCCATTTCTGTGTGTACCTCTGCACACATCCATGTCATCTCAGGTTTGACTCCGGCACCAACTAGGCTAACCTCCTGAACAAACAAACCCTTCAGGGACTGGTACCATATTACACATATGAAGCATTTTTAAAATATTTGCTGACTTATCCCTGGAAGAAGCAACCTCTTCTGCTAACGAGCCCTCAGCTAAGGTATACAAACAATATTTTTATAGTAAAAGCCAAAGCCATCTCCTGCAAACCATCTCACTCTGGAATATCATTCAGCAGTCAAAATATGAGCCTCCAAGATATAGATGAATTATGACAATATAGTATTCAGTGTTTTTTTAAAAACCAGAAGAGCCAGCTGTGCACAGTGGATTCTGTACCCTGGCAGCAACCACCTGCTAAGTCCTGGCTGGCTCTCTCTCCCTTTTGTTTCCCCTCAGCACAGGCCCACAGAGGAACTGACCAACTGACTGACCTGATGGTGGATGAGGCCAATGTCCTTGGAGAGAAGTGAAAAATATGAAGCCTTCTAATTTTCATTTCAGAAAGTCACAAAAATAAGAGACCCACGCAGGAAGAGCAGCACCCTTCCTCCACCTGAGCAAGCAGGTCCCCACCAGATGGGGACCTAGAACTAAACTATAAGGCCAGACAAAATATCAGAAGTTTTGGGACACAACGAAAGCAGTCCTAGGAGGGAGGTTTCTAGCTGTGACTTCCCACTTCATAAAGACAGAACAACCCCAAATAAGTAACCTAACGATCTACCTCAAGGTCCTAGAAAAACAAAAATACTCCAAAGCTAGTATGTGGAAGGAATTATAAAGTTCAGAGCAAAAAATCAATGAAATTGAGAACAAAAACAACAACAAAAATACAAAGAATTAATGAATCAAAGAATTGGTTTTTCAAAAGAATAAACAAAATAAACAAACCCTTAGCCAATCTAACCAAAAAAAGGAGAGAAAATACTCAAATCAATGCAATTGGAAATGAAAAAGGTGGGCTGGGGATTTAGCTCAGTGGTACTGTGCCTGCCTTGCAAGCGCAAGGTTATGAGTTTGATCCCTGGTACCGCCGCAAAAAAAAGAAAGAAAGAAAAAGAAAGAAAGGAAGGAAGGAAGGAAGGGAAAAAGGTGAAATCACAATGGACACTGTTGAAACCAAAAAGATAATTAACAACTACTTTGCAAACCTGTACGCCAATAAATTGGAAAATTCAGAAGAAATGGATAGATT